ATGTGAGCACGGAACGTTAGGGTGTGTCCTTGAGTGCGTGTGTGCGTGCTTATCTACGTGTGTGTGTAGGGCCAATCAGGTTCACGGTCATAGTGAGCGATCATTGGTTGAACACGTAACAGTCCTCCCTGTTTTGGCTGACGTTACAGTCATGGCTGAAAACGTTTGATCGGTTTGCGAATCCGGGTCGATCGGCGTAATTGAGTTTCCCCTGTTGTTCTGTGTTCGTCGTGCTCTGCAGCTTGCTCTGCGATCTCCGAATGTGACTGACTCACGGCAGGTGTGTCAGTGCTCCTGGGGCGTACATGATCTGAGTGCCGGCGAACAACCCGGCCGTCCGGAAGCTGCAAATCGTTTTGACTTCCTGAAGAATCGAGCACAGTCGCCGGCTGCCAACATTGTTCATGCGGTAACCTGGTGTAAACAGGTTGATGGTCCTGAAATGTAACTTCCGGCTTTGATTCCTCTGAAGACACAAACTTTTTCTGACGCTCCTGTACTTCAACACGCGGGTTCGGGAACAACATATAAAGCCTCGTTCTCAGATTTCTGCCGAACATCAATTCCGCCGGGGATTTCCCGGTAGCTTCAGTGGGTGTAGAACAGTAGGAGAATAGGAACCGATCCATTTTTGTTCGCAATGTTCTCGTTCGCTGCTTTAGTAAGCCTTGTTTCACAGTTTGTACTGCACGCTCCGCTAATCCGTTTGATGCTGGGTGATACGGGGCTGATTTAACGTGTTGGATTCCGTTGTTGGCGACAAATTTACCAAATTCGGCACTGGTAAAAGGCGAACCATTGTCTGTACAAATGGTTTCCGGAATGCCAAACGTAGCGAAGGACGAGCGCATTTTAGTGATGGTGGATTCGGCTGTCGCCTGAGTAACTGGATCTACGTCAATCCATTTAGAATGTGCATCAATAAGTAGAAGAAACATGGTCCCGTCGATCGGTCCGAAGTAGTCGGCGTGGATACGCTGCCAGACGTTTTAACAGTGGTGACGAAAATTTATCCACACTTAGGTAGTTCGTTTCAACAGAGCAACAGATGTCAAAGCAATAGTTAATTTAGTCCGTAAGATGATCCCATTAAATCTGTAAGCACTCGCTAAATACTGAAAAATCATTTGAGGAAGACATTGACTGGAGCCTTGTGATATTTTCAAAGGGGCAATCTCGTCGTCTGATTATCTTGTATGGACGTCTAGTCAGCGTGATAAAACCAGCTATAATATATGAGATTGGACACCATTTTAAAACATATTGATCTTAGATGCTCAAGGGAGCCCATTTTTGCATGGAAATCCCACTGTACTTTGTCTGTGTAAATAACGTCCAACAAAATATCTTGTCTACTCAAAAGATAAGTGAACCTATCAAGACAAGTGTACTCAGAAATGTTGTACCCTTTCGATTAGCATCACTAGTAATGGTGCAGATAGAACAAACTAGTTTCAACAGTAGAATTTAATTGACTGCGTCCTCAAAAGCCTTCAGCTCTGACGCAGAGGTGTCAGGAACAATGCAGTCTTCCAGCTATGATCGATTGAAAACTACTTGAGAACTTCGATTTGCATTTAATGGCAGCTTGCAGCAGTTGTTGACTATGTGAATCGAACGGTTACTGAACTGCATCAACGTTGGTTAACGTAAGTTATAACGCCACCACCTAAAAACTGGGATTTACAGGGCGGTCAGTCCTGATAAGAAAATAAGCATCAAGTAAAATAACCTAACGTTCTAGATCTGCATGTAACAAATTCTTGTAACAGAATGATTCCCATATTTACATACTCTTTTCGCTGTATAAGGACACTGCGTATACCGATTTTACGAGGAATCAAGCACGCACTACTAAAAAGTATGAGTGGAACTTGCGCTTTATGGGTAGAGCAACGATTGAAGTCAGATTGCCAACTAGCACGGTGCTTCGCTTATTTCCAAAATGCTACTTCATAATTCGCTTTTGACGTGTTCCTGACAATATTCTACAAAGCACGGCTTTCGGGCACTAACACGAATCGTTTTTAATAGATTGACGAAGTAGGACATCCTTGCCCTGATGTCAGTTCAGAAAAAACAAGTGTTTTAAAGATACAGATAAAACGTAAAATCTGCAGTCAATAGAACAATGGTATATTACGGGCAAAAAAGCGATGCTTAGCAAGTCCCGTAGAATGGCAAAACAGAGAACCACAGCATGGTGAATAGAAAACAAAGGGATAAAATGAAAATCGTTTTGGTGGACACACCAGTGTTAGCAAAGAGGCACGCAGAAAGGGCCAACCTCAGTTGTGTCGGTTAATTCTGGTTGTGTAGCATTCGTCGCATTATATCGTCCGTCGAGACACAGGTTATATCGCGTAGTGTAAGTGGGTTAGGGCAACGTCAAGGCGTTTTTCAAACAGGTAAATTGAGGCGAAAACAACCTAATTTGGGAGGACGTTCCATGGCTGGCACACACAAAGTGAGTAAAAGTTACGTCGACATTCTAGCAGACGGTATTGAGTGGCCAAATTGAACTGGGGGCCCTCAAATTCCTGTTGTGGCTCAGTTGTAATAGTTGGCGGCAGACGTGATTGGACTTCATGGAATCTGGTAGGCCATGATAGGGTCGCCACGTAGGCGTGCTATAGTGTATTCCAATAAGAATATTGGTAACTTAATTTGAAAGTCCTACCCGTGGTGACATCGGGTCACAGAATCTGGGTTGTGGTCCATAGTACACAAAGTTTGGTTTAGGACAAATAGAAGGGTTGGGTAATAGGTATTGCGAATCACAGCGAGCGGGTCATTGAGCATGACGAACGTCTCATTGGATGGGGCGTTCGAAATTCCTCTAAATAGTGTACCAGCTGTACCACAGTCCAAGTTATACGCTAATCACCTATTTACCTTGGTTATATACTACCTACATCCTCGAGTGGGTTCCTTAGATCAGCTTCATTCTCCGGCCCACACGGTCTATAAACAAATAAACCATCAAGTGCTTCCTGTCTTCTCCCGAGATGCTAACACCTGACCACGTTTCACTGCGACTTCGTTATTCCACAGTCATTCACTCCCCATCATGGGTTATCCTGCTGCGTTTCGGTTATCGACACGCATGTTCCCACAAAATCGCGCAAGCCGAGTTCACCTAAGCTACGCCTCAGCTTACTTTGGCACAAACACTTGCACCCATGTGAAATTTCATGTTCTGCTATGCCCTCGGTTTCTCCGCGTACCTCGAGGCTGTGCTGGATCGCGAAATTGCTCCGCCGAAGGCATTTCTTCCCTTTTTCTTGGATTTGGATGCATCAGTGATAAGCGTTCATCTTACACGTGTGGGAAACAGTCCAAGACCGTGCTGTCCGTTCCGCGGTACAAATAACTATGACGGCGTCTCTTATTGCGACTAGAAAAGTGTATCAGTTTCCGATCTCCTAACTGCGTGACAACTTGAAGACCAGCCGTTCAATTATAAATGATCCCTACCGTTAACTCATCTATCGGCTCCTTAACGAACGTTGTGATATTTGCTTGATACTTAAACGAACAGGTCGGCGAGTGTGACTCCCGTGGTCAACGTCAACATGGTAATTGCAGGACAGTTAACGACCGCCGTCTCCAACTTCCTGAAGATCACGCTCTACCTATAGAGTCTAAACGCACGACTCTCTTGGCACGTACGTGCCCGGCCAGTTGAAGTAGCAGTATGACACATAGCCACTACCTTCTGTTAATGAAGGCCACAAACCAATCCGGAGATGACGCACTGTTTTGCACTAAAGTTATTTTACGTTTCAGTGGTGCTGAAGATGATTTGACGTAGATGTGTTTGCTGCCCCAAACGTTCTCACTACCTTGTAGAGCACATATTGTGTTTCTGAAGTGCTTTTTCTCTTCATAAATGGGCGCACATTCGGAGACCTGTACCGTTCCGCTGCGGTAATCCAACTCTGTCCGATTTGACGAGCAAATTAAAGTCTATTAGATAGTTTTCACTAGCGGTTAGTACAATTCAGGGAGCTTGACCTGAAGAACCTTTTCCATTGCTTTTGCGAAACGGTGACAATTCTCTGATTGTTAACTTAGTTAGTTTTCCAATGCTGTGATGAACTACGGAATCTCATTCAGAATGAGTGTTTTCGGCTATTGTCCTAATTTGTAATGGTTACCGATTGTTCCATGAATATATTTTAATCGCGAATCATTTTCCAATTGACTTTAGGCCGTATACACGCGCTACCCTATGGCAGCCTATCTGTGTTCTGAATTTAATGAATAAAAGAATTTCGTTCTCTCTCCAAAAGGGGTCGAATTGATCACATACATGCACCTATTCTCTCCCCTGCATGATTTTGGGCGTACCTACGCTTGACTACGTGAGGTCGTCGCGGGGGAGCCGTTCATCATTGCAAAGCACCAGTGTTTTTTTGACAAACGCTGTGTTTAGCTGGAGGATTAAACAGTGCGATGCATACAGCGGATTTGCTATAATCATGCCCTTGATGCAGAACACGATATTCGATTATAATAATCACATTCGTTCGTAGCCTTCAACATTCTTTTTTGGACTCCGTATGTCATGTGTGCTGTGAGAGACAATCCTGGGCACAATTCGAATCTTTTTATTGCGCTTCACATTCCGCACTTATACCTTCTGTTCTATGGTGTCACTGTTTCCATCCGCTGCTTTACTCAACTGCCAACACCGCCGTTTGGCGATATCGCAGCGCAATGTAACTTCCCCATGCCAGTTGCCATTTTTGTTTTAAATATTCCGGAAACAATAGCTACTTCCAGCCCTGCTAGCTTACATATAAGGATTTTTCACATGACATCATCCATTAACCAATTTCCGCCCGGAGATTAGTCAAAGGGCAATTTCCTAACACCTGCTTTCGGGTAATGACACATCAGTGCGCCTGTAGATACTGAACCACTCGAACCTATGTGAACATTTATACTTGTATCGAATGCAGTTGTTCAATACGCCCGTATCTTCTCCGTTATAGAATCACAATTTTGATGGAGCCGTGATCGAAATTTGGTCGCAATTCGTCGGCCTCCATGAACGGTACTTTCCGTAACACGATGGATCAATCTTTCAGGGAGCTCGTTTTGTTTGTACAGCGAATTTGTGGTGCTATTCATGAACGGAACTTATTATGCATCCTGGTTATCCCCCCACCTGTGTATCGAGAGTAAGGTCGCTTTTTTGTCTAAGACGCTTCTCCCACAGTAATATAGAAGGTCGGTTTACGCGAAAACACTTTGATCAACTATCAACGCATGTGGATTATTTCAGTCTAATGACCTATGACTATTCTCCCCCGTCGCTGTAAGCAATTCTTTTTGCTCACATCCTGAATTTTTTTATAATGTCAGTTGTCGCTGCTTGAGTGATCCGGACGTACTCGCAAGTGTCGCAGAGGTCAAAACGGCCTTCAATACCCCGTGCAGTTGTGGCACTAAATGCGAACACCACTGAAGCTAGTTGACAGTATTTGCAAGAACAATGTGCAAGTGGCTCCATTACTGATAAAACCCCAAACATCTTCAAGCCTCTGGTCATTGGCATCTAGGAGACAATTTTCGTATTCGGAAGTTCAGATGCTTCAAGATTATACTAACAATGAGATCACTCTAAGACTAGCAATGGTCTGCATCAAGATGGGAGCAGGTGAATTCGCACATCTCACGTGTTTTCATCGGTGCCATTAGCAGTAATGTACAAATAGTTTTAATGAGTGAGAGTCGCGAGTGCTTCGCCTTATGGTCACTTCGGTCGGGATCTAGAAAGCTATTTCTAGGTGGCTTCGAGTTAATTTGTTTTACTGCGGCAGCCTCGGTGAGGTGGCTAGTTGGGCACGCTACTCTCCGATTCCTAGCGGCTAGTATGTGCCTATTTGCAGAGGTCGACCTCCCGCCCAGAGAAAGCGTGTAAAAACGTCGCCGGACGGTCTAACGCACATCTCTCCGTTCCTCAAGCGCTCTAAAGTGAATTGCTTCACGAACTGACATGTGCGAAATGAGACTTCGTAGGAAGGATTCCTTCGACCTCGGACCTCATATCCACAGTTGGCTAAGTGTATGGCACATGTTGCGCACTTTGTTGACTTCACTATTACGAGATTCTTTTTACATATTGCTCCTTCTAGTATAGTGTACATCTTGGCTTCCGTAGATGTCAGAATATCTTCGGATTGTGTGTGTGTGTGTGCGTGTTTCATTCGTCATTTGCACACACGAAGCAATTTATCCATACTCATCGGAGCACTACTACCAGAATGAGGCTGTAAATGCGACGAAACATGAACATGTTTGTTCTAGTGACTTGAAGGGCAATTTGCTTCTCCAGTTGAGCAGAATGCAGAGCAGTGACATGGTGAACGACGAACATGAAAGGTGGTGTGTCTGATGCAGTGGTTTTAGTTCATCGAGTTGTAGGTCAGTGAGATGAAAGTTTTCATGTAGAATTTGGACGGCCCACTAAGGCTGAAAAAACCACTGGCATTGCTCAATCGGATGGGCGCAATATTACGGCATGACACCGCACGACCACATAAAGCTTCACTCACTGTTGACAAATTAACTTCCCTACAATATAAAATTTTACCACATCCTCCATATTCACCAGATATTTTACCGACCGATTATTACCATTTACGAATGACGAATTATTTTAGGAGAAAAAACTTAATAACCAAAATATGAATTGTTTATTAACCCTAAACATGGTGACTTCTTCCAGAGAGACAGGTATGACTTGCCAAATCGTTGGCAGAAAGCCGTAGATGCCAATGGAAGCTATTTCGATTGAATATGGTAAATAATGTGAAAAATTGCGTGTTTTGGTTTTTTGAACGCCCGTTTCTTGGTTTCCAACTTAATACTTGACTAGACATAAGCCCATAGAATCTACATTTCATGAATCCGCTCCAGTGGATATAATCACTAAAAGCGCCACAGAACATTTGCACATTGTGTCTTATCCTTTTTTAAACAGTCTATTCGATTCTACTTCACTATGAACCAGAATAGATTCCGGCTATGTTCCGTTTTTAGACCCGGCCCCAACAGCCCTATTGGATGGATCAGAAAGTGCATTTTACTGCTCGTGGCAGATGGTTCCAGTGAAGCCATGAAAAAACGCGCACAGATTCTTACAGGTTTCAACTTCTACGGCATGAAGCATGTACCCCAAAAGCGCCTTGGTGATGCCATTTCTGGACATGAGTAAGCAGGACTACTGTTTTGCTTCATTACAACCACGGAGATACCTTAGGGCGTAATTTGTGCAACACTCGGCACACAAGGGTAGGCTAACGAGGAACAACCCAGCACTCCGGGTTTTAGCGACTAAGAACGCGCATCCGATTTTCACGCACAGTAGATAAAGGGAGCGAACCGTCGTCTCCTTTTTCCTAGCTCATTAGCATGGCTGCGAAGGCACCATGATTCTGTCGGACCAGACAACTCTAGATACCCGCATAAGTAGGCGACGGATGAGAAACCTTTGCTCTTCTTCGCTGCCATGCAAGTTACTTTTGTACCTAAGTCTATCTAATTTCATTGTGAATCGAATCCATTTCGCTTTGGAACTGCTTGTGGTATAAGCATAGAAAATGGTTTTCCGCGGGCCAACTCAGTCGTCCGCATCATTGTATCGCCGATTATTCTTAGCACGATGTCACTGAGACAACTTATCGACGAACGTAGCTCGCCGAGGTTTGCTGCGGTACGAACCAATAAGTTCCCTTTGAATTCGGGGGATATGCCTTACTCACGCTCGATGGGGGCGTCGTGACCTGCCGATATCCGATCATATTTTTGAGTGCAATGCTTAACTGCCATGTAGGTATTACTATCAATGATTGTGCACGATCCATCAGCTACTGTAGGGCCTGAAGAAGGTGAATACGAATGTCGTTCAAAATATTGCAGAATATCGAGAGCCCGGGTTTACAATTCGATTGTTCATTTGTTCGCCGACAACAATTTCGTTCTAAACGCCTTGTCGCCAATCGAGGTACATAGTTGGCTGTAGCTTCATATGCGAAAAATCGTAATAGGCAAATTCAGAAATGATGGTGTCCTCTCGATTAGTGGCGAAATGTTTGCAACTAAATCGCCAAGCTCGAAGAACGCACGAACAACTGGATCGTAAACCTGGGCCACCGGTATTTCGCAATATTTGTATTCGCTGTCTTCAGGTCCTATAGTAGCTGATGATCGCGCACAATCATTAATAATGAGAATGATATGATAATTAAGCGGTGCACTCAAGTGATATTTGCCACAAAGATGTGATCGGGTAACTACCGGACACGTTTTAAAGCGACAGGTCACTTCGCCCTCATCGAGCATGAGTAACGTATATCCCTCGATTTCGATGAAGGCCAAGCTCTATGAACAATTAAAACGTTTATTCTTGCAATCCATTCCACCTTATTTCTTTCAATGAACAGAGAGCCAACTCAATCGTTCACTTGATGGAGTAACATACATAAATCCAGGCCCACAAGTACTGTTGCTTAACTGTAGAAAAATATATCCCGAAAGTAGGAGGATATTTGTATACACCGGCGGCTTGATAGCTTACGAGCATAGTAGCCAGAATGACTAATGGACCAACATGGCTCCACCATAAGCGACTTGCCTATCTTTTTTTACCGAAATTATACTTGTAGTTTACCGCATACAAACACGAGCATCTCGGAATATATCAAGATCATTAAACGAAAACAACAGCTTTCCGAACAAACAGTATGTGGGAATCTCGACCATCATTCGGTAGTCTGCATCACGTGAAATTGTGCTCCGTTTACACCTTTCAGGTTTGTGAGATTGGTGAATGCTACTCGCGCACCGTTTAGCTGGGACGATACGTCGGAAGAACACTTTATCCGCTTCAGGTGAGCCATCCGGTTTTACCACGAACAGAAATCTGCGGTGGCTCCAAATCCCTTCCCAGATTAGTGATTGACGTATACCCTCATTTCCCCTTTCGGTTTTCAGTGACGACAGTGGCTACGAAAATCTCGTGTACTACCCAACGGCCATGTCATTGGCCCGCAGGATTTCCCTTGTAGAGGAACTTGGCACGGGGATCGCTATATGGGAAGCCGGTCACGGTCTTGACCATTTTTATTCACAACTATAACTTCGAACACTCGGTTTAAAGGATGTGTTGACTCATTGAATAAAGTCATGAAGAATTGTTGTAATTTCCAGCAACCGCGTTCAGCGCTTTTAATTAATCTGTTTGGAAAAGTAGGGGTTTATTTACAAAGTTGTACTGTCATATTACATCGGACGTAGCAACCGCACACAAAGCCACAGATTGGGAGGGACGTAAGATTTCCTCGGGCTTTTATCATCGTACGGTATGTGCCATCCACTGTCACCGCAACCGTGTACACATGTGTCGCATTGTAGAGGGACCTAAAAAGGGAACACATGAGTTAGCTTCCAACGGTCACGGCACATCTCGACAGAACAGTCTCCTCAATCGTAACGCTTACTAGGGGCGTTCCGTGTCTGCCAGGACTCAACCCAATTTGCCTGATAGATTGCCATCGAAAAATTTGGAAGCCCAATTGAGAGCCGACGATGAATCGATGTTGTTTGAATTCGTCGTTCGAAACCAAGTAACATCTGGGTCCAGACCACAGCGCGATATAGATAGTGAAAATGTCATCTTCGCTTCTATAAAGAGAGAGAAGAGTGGGAGGAAACTAAGACATGTGTTTGCACCTGACTACTTTGTGTCCGCACCAGCGAGCAACCATTTCTTCCGGTGCGGCGAGCACTAAAAAACTTATGCAATCTACTCGGAAAGGCGATTCGGTTAAACTGCCTTAAGTACTGATTGGAATTCCTAAGTAGCTAACACAGTAGGCATCATAATCATTCATGAGAATACTATATGGCTACGCGCAAAATGTCGGTGTAAAATATGCTCGGATCATAACAAAACATGAACGTAAAGGTGTCTACTGTAACCGAAGGTTCAGTAACTGTACGAACCTGTATACACGGTGATCGGAAAATAGCCCAGCTGCATTATTTGAACTACATATCAAACTCCATAGGCACAGGATATACAATCTTTATTGTTGGATTTGCGAAAGGCATTTGATCGCATACCTCACAAACGGTTACTAATAAGGATAGCTTTCTTTGGAGTCAAAGAGCCTATACTTGGTTGGCTATCCTCATAACAACGGTCACTCTCAGATAATCACCTTGGGCGACCGTTGCTCTCCATCGCGTCCAATTACCAGGAGGGTAAAACAAGGATGTGTGCTCGTTACATTAAGTTCCCTTCTTTGTAACAATGATATCAGTTTGGTCAACAAACATGGCGTGCGTGGTTATTTGCCAACGACATAAAAATTGTCAATAAGTTCCGACGAGTTGACCTTCAGAATGTACTGCTACCCATTCAAGAAGACAATCATTCGCCTCAGACGTGGTGCGACTAGTGGATGAGAAAGTTCTCGGCACAAAAGTCAAGTATCATACGTCGGAGTTGCTTGATACCCGAAAAATCCATCACACTTAACAGTGAAGGCATGTGTGTACAACGGTCTACACGTAACCTCAAAATCTGGTATCTTCAACTTTTTTTGAACAGAATGAGTACCAGATAACACTAGCCAGACAATCAGTGGCTAACACATCTCATAAGATGCATACAATCACAGCTGGAGTCGAATTAGTTAAAACCTTTACTCGTCTCATCCTGGAGTACTGTGGCATAACATGCGGCAATATGAGAGAATCAGACGGAACATCGACAGAAAGCCTTCAACGATGATTTACTGAACATCTGTTGGGAAAAATTCTATCAAGTACTATCGGGAGCGCTGCCAGCAACTCCATCTCGATCCGCTGTGGCTATGAAGACCAACAATAACTTGATGCTGCTGTACAATCTGATTTACGGCAGTATCTATTGCAATCTATCCATATTAATATTGCAGCACAGTTCCACGCGGAACCTACGTAACAAAGACTTTACTCTGATTATACTATGGTGCGGGACAAATTTGTGCTTTAACTTCTTTCTCCCTAGACATGCTTCTCTGTGTAATCAGCTCCCAATTTCAATCAAGCCGTGTGAGACTGTGCAATCATTTCGCAGTAAGCTGGGAAGCTACCTCAACCTAGACACCATTATGTCGTTTTGTTCGTGGATTTAATACCACAACAACACAATACAATATACCACAACAATACAAAATGTAATTAACCCTCAGTGTCTACAACATACTCAAACTACAAAAGTACCTCCTATCATCGCATAAAACACAAACATATGGAAAAAATACCTTACCAGAAACAGAGGCAAATATAAGAGTATAACTTTATATTGCCTATGCAAGAGCACGTTGCCACCTGTACATATATGGTCTGGGCCAAGTATGGTCGCAACTTTTTAACTTGATGAGAAATATTATTATTATTTCCTGATCTCAGGAGAAAATGTTCAGTATACAGTCGGAAACATACTCGCGATGAGAGTATATCAACGCAGCCAGAAACTTCATAGGCGACACTTCATTGTATAAGTACTTTGCAATCGTTTGCAAATGATTATTACATGGTGAACGAGTTCACGCTTGTTGTGAATCACGTCAAATCATGTTGAGTGATGATACACGAAGCGTTGGGAAAGCATGATCTCAGCTGATTCGAGACCATCGCGGTTTATAGAAGCGCCTTCAGCCTGGCTAAATCTAGGCATACTTGCAGTCGTAATCGGGTGTGATATGGAACCGTCTTTGGTAAGTTGATGCAGTGACAATTTAATGCTCCCCTATGGAGCTCAACTAGACCCATGCATATTGATTTGGCGTGGACAGGCGTTTTGTCTTTGGGGTTAGCTCTAACCATTGGAGTACCGGCAGTTACGTCGGTCGAACGACGGGGCGTCTGTCTGACAGGGTGAGGGAACACCATTCGGCTTGGCTCATGACTGATTGTCGAAAAACAACCAACTCATCCATAAACGCATGCTGCACTAATCAAAACAACTCGTTACGAGTAGAGCACAAGTATTTCGCAAAAAATGCAATGGCATGCGTCTTTCATCTGGGGCGAAATCACTTACTTGTTCTGAGTAATGAAAGTGAACACCGAAATACCCAATTTGTTCCCAAGTTCTTTCACTTGGGCCATGAAGGTCGGATGACGGATTACTACGTTACCTTTGCTGACGAGGCAAAATCGCTTGAAGTTAAACTCCCTCTTGAAGGTTTGCAGGATCTACAGCGAACACGGTGAAATAGAAATCAGTAAACAACCAGGAACATCTGCAAATTTAGTGGAGCAAAGTAACATGCAGAAATTTGGCATCATATGTAATGGGTAATGATTCCAAACCGATAGCACTCCAGGAAATTGTAAGGAACGTGAGCTGCGTGACTTGAGGATGGATCGTTTTATTATAGAGAAGTGAGCTTTCGCTGATAAGACATGTTACAAATGTAGCGTGTATGTGTGGTCACACAGTCACCGACATCTGCTTATAGACGTGTGCAGGTACTAGTTTGAGAACGTAGTGTAGGTTCACAGGGATGGAACTAATGGCGTTTAGGAGCGCTGGGCATAGTTGTCGGTAACCGATAGAGCCGTTATGCAATTCTATGTAACAGATAGGGGACAACTTTGTCATGAAAAATAGTCATATTGGCTTTCACTCATCTAATAGACAGCTCTGGTAACTCTACGTGGCATTAATCGTGACCGTGGGGTTATCCATGACAAGACACTAATAGAACCCTTAAGCAAACAATGCTTGCGTTCTGATTTATTTGTCGTTGAGATATGAAGGACAGTGAAATTGCACCCTAGAAAGACAATAAATAATGTACGTTGCTTCTCATACAGTCCTGTCAACGTAGAAAACCAAAATAACGACGTTTGGGACGCGTTGATGGTAACCTTGACCGTTTTGTCACCATCCCGCGCTCCCAGTACACATGTCGCTCGTGTGTAGATGAGTCTTCGCGGCAGTATCTTATGGTTGTGAGACGCTCGGAAAGTAGATTCAACAGTGACTTGGATTGCACGCGCGCACTCGGTGTAAGTGGCCAGCACACGGAATGGGTTTGGTAATCTTAATTACCAAAAGCAGTGGCCGTACCACAGTCTGGTCAACCGTTGAAAACTACAACCGACAGGATGGAGCGATAAAACATAGCAGGTCGGACAGGGATGAATGTCAATCATGTGAAAACTCTAGTCTGATAATTCGGAGAGACTCCAATCACTAAAGGCGCATGCAGACAAACTCAATGCGATCGAAGTCAAACGAGACTACGTGTTGGGTCCGATGCCCAACTTCGACTATCAGCACCTGAATGATCCAGACATGAGTCAAACTGGTCGTAGAATACAGCGTTAAGAACACGGGAAGGTAATGTTTCACAAACATCGTTTGTATATCGTCCATATGTGGACAGTACAGGACGGTTGATGAGGCATTTCTGGACTGTCGGCTGAACTGTCTGCTGCCTGACAGTTGTTGCGAACGTTTCATCACCAATCGTGACATCAGGGCGTTGATGCGTAGCGCAGCATAAGAAAGCCATAAAAAGCAGGATCCATATCCCATAGTTCGCATATCTGAGGATAAAGATCACCATTATAACCTGGAAAATGTAAATATGCTGGCACTGAGAATACGAAGCAAAGAGGGGAATTTTCGAAAACACGGCATTCCACAGCCACTTCTTTGGATCGTCAAGTTGAGTTGGACGCCATACACGTAACACATCAGGGACGAAGAATCAGCAACACAGTGGAACGACCGTGTAATTAAACACTACGTGACGGCGGGAAATGTAGTCATTGACGACCAAACTCGGTGCCGTTAGCCCGTCTCGCCTTTTAGGCTGGAGTCCACGTGACCCGCTATGTGCATGGGTTAAGACGTTACAGAGCATGGCTTGTAGTCGACACCAGTGGGGTCTGCTGTCGTCTCCTAGTCGGATTGTCTGTATGAGTTTGGTGCTGAGTTATCTGCTGGGTAATGGCTGATTAGGATGCAGAGCAGTGAAAGCCGCAAGGAAGCTGTCTCGCCGTTGCCGCCTTATCTTTGCACGATATCCTGCTGTTTGTGATGGTATGTTGTTGACAAGCTGTAGACGCCTTCACCCCGAGTTTGTTTGGGGCATTCAGGTTTCACGCCAAGTCCCTCTTCTCTCTTACTGTTCTTTGCTCCGTAGGTCACCGTGGTTGTACGACAGGGAAGCATCAGTCCAAATGCCTGATGTACTGTTTTTGATGATGACGACCTCATCCATCAAAGTTCTCTATGTTTTGCTTTGATTGTGGTGTTTTACAGGCAGAGACCGTCCAACTCACTTTATTTTCTTTATATATCGAAAACTACTCACACAATCCAACTATGTTGGTTGTAAGTATGCTGACGATCTCCTTCTGGCATTCACTGCCCCAACTGTTAAGACATCTACTCTCCAAAGTGGTCTAAAGAAGCTTATACTGTGGTCTTCCTCCCGGATCCTTTTGATGTGACAGCTGATTAGCTACGGGTTGTTTGGACGCGACTTCTCCACTGGCAATGAGTGACCAAACCATACCCGGATCGACTGCCAGATAACGGACTTTTTATCCCAAAACGTATGTCGGTCTATTCGTTTTGCCGAGACGTTACGTAAACTTAAAAGGCTATCTTTTGGGCCATCAAACCGGAATGCTCTCATAACCCTGTTATTTGATTTTTAAATTTGTGACTGCATGTACTCTACGATATTAACAGGTGCTTCTGAACCGCTCAGCACCGTTATTCCATGCACCAGGCTCAGATGACTCGGCATGCCAGTCCACCGGCTCCCGCGACGTGTGTCATTTGTGCGCCGGGAATGCTGATGGTAGAAGAGGAGAGGTGGCCAAGCGATGACTTGATTGAGAGGAATGAAGGCCCTCTCTTCGAAATTGGCCTCGGTTGGAGCTTCTCGGCTCCCTAGTTGGGGTCCGAAAGACGAACACCTTTGCCTGTATACACTCGCTGACATGGCTAGGAGCCGACCTCAATGGCGTTCGTGCTGTGAGTTTCTTAGTCCCTCCTCATCCCTCTTAGTCTCCCACTCCAACCACGATCTCATTTATTCGCATAATATAATTTTACATAATAACTTTTTTGTTGCACGGTAAGCGGCTGATAACTTTCCGGAACGATGCCCATCCCTTACTGGTAGTTCAGCTGGCATGCATCTGTCTAACCATCCACACACCGCATATCCAGTGTAAATCCGGAAGACATGTAGTTAGAAGTCAGGTTTCATCAATAGAGCCGGATCACGCTCCTTCAACAGGTATAGTAGCGGCATTCCTGTTTATCTACTTTGGGAGTCATGCGTACCAGACGTACACAAGGTGATGGCTCGGTCGTAGTCCGCTCCACAATGGATGGAACCACTCTGAGCCCAGCATCGTCAGGAAGTCTGTGCACCTCGTCCACCCAGTAATCGACGTGGAGGATGTTAGACAGAGGCGCCTTGTCAACATTCACATCAAGCGCAGCCACACCGGGGACATCAAACAACAACCGACACCTAACATAGAAGAAAATCAACACAAAGACACAAATGCAGCGACGATGTAGTACATGTACCACAACCGCTGGGTTAGTTAACAGAATGAAAGCGTAAGCAGCGCACCTACGAACGCGGCCCAGATGCAGATTAGATAATCAGCTGATTTGTTGTCTTTTAGATGCTGATCACTCTGGTCGCTTACCTGGCTCGCTTGAATCAGACACGCGAGACCACATGCGCTTGACGTCGATGGAGTAGACTCCATCGGCGCCTGTCGCTTCCGTCCCAGGAGTTCCTCCTCCTCATGCAATGGTGCTTCCTCCTGTACCTGAGCAACCGTTCTCTGATCAGTTCACGTCATTCGCGCCATCGTGAAATTAACATTACCTCTTGGTAAACTCACCTTAATCATGTCCCGGTAACATAACTTTGGTTTTAGCACGTGCCGCTTACCTGCACTAAGTTGTCCAGATAGCAGCTGTTTGGCTATCCGCGTCGAATACATGCGGCTATGACCCACCGTCTCAGATGCCGCAGCAGAACTATGCAGTCCACTGCACACATGCCAATGTGGCGCAGGACCCTGTGTCTGCAACTCGGTCACTCAAGCCGATGCAGGCACTGTTGAGTTAAACATTTCAGATAACGGACGTCATTCGGTACAACGTCCGCGTTTCGCTGCCGTATAGAAGAACGGACAGCACCATCGGCCGGTATACATTCAGCTTTGTCCCAATCGTAGGCTGGTTATTCTTCCACACACGTTTCTCTAGTTTGTCAAACGCAGCAGCGCCTTATATACGCGGATACGCAGCAAGCTCGTCATCGACAGGTCGGCTGATTTGACACTCATAAGGTAGCCACATTTCGATGCTGTCTCCAACACTTTATCACCAATCTGGATTAGGGGCAGGAAAAAAAAAAACAATCTTGCTTGCCTTAATGGTGAGCCCGGACATGGCCGCTGTCGAAGCGAGAGCCAAAGTCATGTGCTGCAGCTCGTCCGCACTGTGTTCCAACAATAGGCAGTCGTCGGTAAGCAGCAGTATCGACGCTTCGCTACCGCGCAACCACCACCAGTCGCACTTTGGCTAAGGATACTGTGTGAGTCGCCCGGTCCCTACGCAGGGTGGAACCGGCGCCCTCGGATTACAGGCTTATGGTACTTAAGGTTACGGACAGGCAAACAAAGCGCATTAATTAATAGTTAGAAAAATACTCGGACAGCCCAACTTATCGAATATCAGCCATAAGGCCTCGCGGTTCAGGGTCAAATGCGTTGGTGAAGTCAACAAACAACGAGTACAATGGCTGGTGTCGCTCTCTACATTTCACCTGCAACTGACGTGCCGCGAACAACATGTATGCGGTGCTGCGATCAGAACAAAATCCGAAACGCTCTTCCTCTATGTGCGGTTCAACGACCTGTGTGACGAGGCGATTGAACAGGATTCGCGCGATCACTCTCCCTTCATAACTCAGCAAGCTGATGCCATAATAATTCATGGCACATTGCTTTGCTTCCTTGACCCTTATACAATAGTAGCACAAAAGTGTCCTTCAAGCCAGTCGGCACTCCCTCTTTAAACCACACGCGTTGCACCAAGTGGTCAACGCGAGTCGGTTCCGGCGTCCTTACTGTTTCGCAACTGAGCAAGTGCCTTCTGTGGTTTATCAACTGTCGGTTTGTCAGTAAGACAGATC